CTCATGAGACCGCTAGGGATTTGAAGGAATATGGCCGCGGTCTCATGAGACCGCTAGGGGGTTGAGAGGTTAAAAAGTTAAATATACGCGATAAAATCCGTAAAAACTTGTATCATTTAAATATGTAGTGTTTGCGTAAATATAAACGTAAATATAAGAAAGCATTAGGTCTGTATTAATAAACATTCCTCTACAACGAACTCAAGCGCGTAATCATTTCATACGTCCTCATTACGACATCACCATCTTAATATCAATTCTAATTAATAAACATATAAAAATAGTAACTCAGTTACAAATATCAGTTTCGTAAGTTTCTTCGTAAGCTTCGTTGTACTTGGAATAGTGTTTTGGGACTTGAGGGCTTGATCTCGTGAACGATTACATAACACTGACAGAAGCTTAGAATATCATTTATCACATTTCAAGTTATAAGTTGTTTTCTACTTAAGAAAGCCTTACATTTTTTAAATTATTGTGTATGTATTTCTTAATTGTACTCAACTCAATATGTATAAAAAATAACTCATTAAAGCGACAGTGTCGGTGTCATAAACTAGACTACAACAAACAACTCTGCTTGTTTAAAACTTTTTGATTTTAAGATCTTTGCTTCTTTACTTATGACATCACTGATTTCACGTTATAGTTTAATTTGTACAAGGATTGGGAAAAATACATTCTTAATATTATAAACAAAATTGGACTGTGATGGAAACTTAGGACACCGATAGCACGTCTCAAGAGGATGGTAACTCGAAAGGATTCGAGGCATCCCTTAAATATTTTTTAATAAACGATGTCACCGTAACTTATCGTAATAAACTATCGTTCACAGTTATAATTATTTCACTGAAATATATTTTCAAACTCCATGGTTCACTACTACAATCTTAATTTTAAGTCACGGACCATCTGCACTCAGCTTTTAGCATCTCAATAACACGCATCATTACGATATTGTCTTACTTGTTAAAATGTCAAACTCAACTGCTTGGTTTTGTTTGTAAGAGAAATATTGATTAAAGTAACAATCTTTTCAGCCGATTCCATGATGTCATTGTAAGGTAATGTTTAAATTTTTTTTAAAAATTACCAACTGCTTATAGAACAAAATTAATTACTAAAATTGGTGTTTTTAATAACCTAATATTTATAGTAAAATTAAAAACTACCACCCAAAAACTTACATACCATATTAGATACTACAAAAAAATATATAATCGATACATTTACTTTTTGTGTATTGATTTTGTTTATTTAATAAAATGGTGCGTTTTGATCATGGTATATTTAGTCCATATCATGTTTTGCGAATAGCTAGCTAGCTCTGAAATCAAACAAAGAAAAGTAACTACTACAGATTAGAAGCCTGAAATGAAAATAGTAATAGAAAATTTGTCCTTGTCGTCATTTCCGAATAGCTAACTAGCCCTGGAATCAAACAAAGAGAAGTAACTACCACAATTTCAAAGCCTGAAATGAAAATAGATTTTTGATTAACGAATCCTACATCGTTTGACGAAATTATATGTAAATTAATAGACAATAATAATGAATCTAAGCACACCTTAAAATAAAACATAATATACAAGGCAAAATTGTACAAATGTTACATATAGCATGAATAAGTTTCAAACGACTACAAAACCATATTACGTTTTTGTGACAATCAGTCATCAATATTTGGGACTTGTAATTTAATATCAATATAAAAAGACATCAAAGAAGCACATTAAATACTGTTTACATATTAAAAAACGTAACAACTTCAATATCGTGTTTTGAATATGTACAATGAGAGTAAATATTGAGTAGAGACGGAAACAGATGAGGGCTTCTAAAGGAAGCGGCGTATTTATTAACGCTGCGACACAGCCGAGTACACAGGGAATCTACTTTATATTAAACCGAGCGGTCCATCAGAGCTGCTATTAGACTGCCTCGAATAACAAGCGCTTACAAAGATCTAGAATTGCTTCGTCGACTTTGTGATAAAATTTAAAATATTTTATTATTGTTGGATCTTTATTAACTCTCTCAACAAAACTTTTAATATATAGTTTTTTTTTAGATTATCGAATGAGGATGACAAGCAAAAACATTCCTCCTGATTGTAAGTGTACGCTGTGGATCATATACATCTACATTTATTATCAATCAAGTATCAAAATTAAGATGCGTTGTCACCCTTGAGGACTAAGATAGAATGCCTTCCTTTTCTCTACACTCACCGTAAGCTTTGCTGGTATTCTGTGAGAGTGGTTAATCCCGTTCGAGCTGACCCGTTCATACTACAAGCTAGCTGTTGCGTGGCTCTACCACCTATAACCTATAGGTTTGCAGACTATCATTTTTTACCTTTTCAACTTTGCCTCAGAAATACACAGTCATTATTTCATAACACTCATTTGGTCTTGGGTATATTATAATGGGTAATGGATAATCCATTCATATTTAATAAACGCAATTAAAGCTTTTTACAAGATTTGTACTATGCTATGGCCGGCGAGAGAATGCGACTGACGCTCGTGATCAGACGGTCAAATTTACTTCGAAGTGGAGAAAAATTTAAATAATAAAGATAAACATATTTTTCGTTTACATTCACTACTGATACAAAATTTTATAAAAATTCATATTACGAGGTCATTATACCATATATTTTAAGATCGGTACTGCACTGTTTTCAAGTTACTTCCACCTTTATTTTTTATAGTGATGTAACATAAAATACAAGGCAATTGCAAGTTAATTTGTTGATATACTATAGAATAGGTAACTATAAGATACAAAAAGAAATTTGTAAAATTGATTTTACGAATTCAATATAATTGTTCATCAAATTGTCAAAAATATACCACCAAAATAAATTATATTATGTAATTTAAGTCAATACAAGGGCATCCGTTACGGAGGTGTGAGGTGTTAAGGTAAAGTTAATGGGCATATTATCGACTTTTCAACTTTGCCTGATTATGAAATTCACAAATGAAAAAGTTTAAGAAATTTTGAAAATAATTAGTTAAAAACATTATACGAAACTATATTTTATAATTAATCATCTGATATGTTAATTTTAAAATTTAAAAGTATTAATGACGTTAAGAGATTTTCAGTTGTCCTCAACCGATTGAGCTGAAATTTAGCATCTATGTTTAGTTTCGATGACAATGCATGGTTTGCTAAGTGGCGGACCACCCAAAATTGTGGACTAATTATTTCTTTTCTCTTTCATTTTACTCTCACTCACTAACTCTTTCATTTTATACCCATATTATAATAATAATATGGGTATAAAATGAAAGAGCTTGTCAAGAAAAATACATCAATAAAATGACGACATTTTAAATCTAATATGTTGACACTCAAAGATAAAAGTTATGGACCGACAAGGGTCAACTGCAGTTGATAAAAAAAAACAAAATGGCGGATCTAAGTTAACGATCAAAACCAAAAATGATGCATTAAATGAAATGAACAGCCTTAGAAACACGTCCAGCGATAATAAAAAATAAAAATAAATATTGTAAGAAATATTTTTAAAAACAAGCTTTTATTTAAATTTTCTAAAAATAATATAATAGACATTTAAAATTAAATCAAACCCCTCAAGTCATAACATTTAATTATATAATATGAAACTTGTCGCGAGATTTACCTGTATACATAAATAAGACTGCAATATTATGTAACTTAATATTGACATAAGTAATTCTAAGAAAAAAAAAATGCTTTTTATTTTATCACAGTTTCTCAATAAAACGTATTTTAACTATATATAACAGTTCTGATAATTCTGCAATTCTATGGAATGACGGTGAATTGCTAATGAAACCGCTACTGTTTATTTTGCCGATACGAAATGAGAAATGAGTGCAGCAAAGCTTAACAATCGTTGCCCGCGCCATATTTGATATCTGGTTATTAAATTTTACTTCGACCTTTGAGACCTTTCTCGAAATAATATTGTTTAAGAGAGGCTTTCATTTACCTACATTCTCGTAACTTTGATAATGGTATGAATCAATATTTGAGAATAGTTTCATATTTTATAAAGCGGGTACAGTTATATTGCTAGATTTTGTAAGAGAAAATGAAATCAAAATCTAAGGCTGATTGCTGACTAAGTCAATAAGAAGTAATATCAGTTAGATTGCGTTGGTCCGCCATTCGCAAGCGGCGTCCTGGTACAATCCGCTGGATTAGGTCTTCAACACGCACGCCAGTGTTAACTTCTCTATTTATGATTGAGTCGTTACCAAACAACTTGTAGGCTCTTTATTACAGCTGTTTTTTTCGCTCATGACAGCGTTACCACTTTGATATAATATCTACAGACTTTTGTTCAACACGACAGTCTACACTTCCCTTTTTTGTTGTTGTGAATATAGTTGACATGTTTGTTTCTTTTTCGAAGGAAAAATATTTGTAGTAACTTCTTTATGTGATTGCAATATAATAAATGTTGTATAACCATAACTTTCACCATCGTCTAATAAATAGTGTTTATTTCTTTACAATATTAGGTACGTAAATATAAACATGAATATTTTGGAAATGCGAATGGTTTTTCACCATTAACTAGTTACCTAATATATAAAGATCATTTATTTTCGTGCATCGTAAATAGTGTCTTTGCTGTTTTACACTTAGGGTTAACCTAATTTTTTCCATTTCTTTCCTTTTTGGAAACTTATAGAATTTTATGATATATTATCATCACTTAAAGTGAATTTTTATAAAAATATATAAAAAATATTGACCATTACCTTTATACTATCGTTTTACGCCTCTTAAATAATAAACAAAAGCTGTAGGTTATTATCTGAAAAACAAGCTCTCTTCAAAATATTAATTAAGGTTTTTCTACTCTATTGATAACATGGGTAATAAGAAATAGTGATGTATTTTGTTTAAACGCATCCTTGGTAAGCGTTTTAACTTAAAACGAATCTTTGTTCCAGATCTTTTAAAATAATGGCATGAATGCGAAAAAAATGGAGCGGGCGGGACGGCGATCGAAAGCAGGCTCGTTAAGTGGTCTGTCTGGTGGTCTCGGGAGTGTCGTGACTGGTGGTGGAACGGGCAGCGTACGCAGGCAACGCTCGTTGGAATGGGGTGGTGATAGGTATAGCAGCAGCGACGACGATCGTCCAACTCAACCACCAAAGATTGCCGACAGAGTTTTCGCCTCGCTTCTTGCGCAAGCTACGCAGCAGTTTGACAGTGAGTGATTCACAGTAAAATACTTTATTTTTAATATTTATTAATAATCAAGGACATACATGTTATAAATATAACCAGGGATACTAACAAATAGTTGTGTATTTGCAGTTAATATTTTGGTCTTTTCATTTGTAGGTCAAATTATGTAATCACTATTCATTTTCTAATTATTCTAGGAAATATGTTCAATACTGAAATAGTAAGCAATTTTGTCGTGTTTCAATGTAATATTTTACTGAACTATATGTTTTATAATCCATGAAAATGAGAGGGATCTGTATCCTGTGATAAGACATAAATTATAGGATTGTATTACATTAACACTTATAATTTCATTTCAAGTTATTGAAGTTAAATATATGTATTGTGAATATTTCATAAAGAGCCATAGTAAAAACAAAAGTCGCAGTTACTAGTGGTATTGTTCATGATATTCATGATCCGGAAAAATCCCGGTTGGTAACAAATAATTATACAAAAACATAATGTAGGTATTTTATTAAGGCACGTAATGTACTATATCAGTAACAATAACGTTTAGAACTGTGATTGCTAACTCACTCAACACGCGTGGCAACTGTGGCAAAAATTACGCCACTCTTTGGCAGAGGTCTGTATTTAACAAAAAAACTTTTGATAGGCTGTGATAAAATGATGACCGGTATAGCCATCAACAAATATAACCACATTTCATCAGTGCAATCGGGGTTATGATGATTAAATATTATGCTGCAGCGAAAGTTTTTTTTTCCATATGAATTAGATAACATACACATACTACGTACTGTCGAAGTGGCAGAAATAATGATATTGCGGTGAATGTGCGGAGTTAAAAGGTTAGTAAATCTATATAGGGTGGCCGCGGTGATCGTATCATCGCTAAGAAAACAGGTTGAGTCAGTTCAATTAAATCTAAGTTATATGTAAAGTTTTAATCACCATTATATCTAGAGTTTTAATCATCTTTTATATCTAACTAGTTGTATATCTACATTTCAAAATTAGTAATTATTCATATTTTTTTTTGTAATTTGTTCCTATGCGATTGAGAAAAGCTAGGCAAGTTTCGTAGCGCAGGCTACGGCGTAGCATGGCTCAACACAAAATTTAATATTCTCTGAATAACACCGGTCGAAGTCCGCGCTGAGCCCTAACAAGTGGCATCATTAGTATAGCATTTTGGATCACGATAGGGTAGAAGGCGAAGGGGGCAATGGTAGGGTGGCGCTCAGCGGTAAACTTATGACGAAACTATACGCGTAACCCTCCACAACCTCCGCTTTTCATTCTTCTATTATGCTAAATAAGCATCTGGTGAAGTAAGATATAATATCTAAATTTCTAATTTTAGGCATCAATAGACTACTTTACTATAAGGTATTAACAATAATTATACTCGTAAACTTGGAATAAAATAGAATTAAAAATTATGTTAATTAATTTAATCAAATGCGAGGTAAAATCTAATGCATGGAATAAATTTTATTACATATTTGGGTTCAGCGATCCTACAAGAAACGTCATTGAAATATATATTATTTATCTTAATTGGATTACAATTATGGATAATCAATAAAATCGGGCATTACTTTGAGGATTTTTTTTTAAACTTTTAAGTTCGAATCCCGTACGGAAAAAGTATTTGAGTATAGCCTACAAATATTTGTTTTGGTTCTGGGTGTTTGTTTATGTGCAATTTATGTATGCAAAAGAAAATCCTAATGTAGGTTGTAACGTATTGCAAAAAATAGGATTCGCAATAATAAAAATCTTCTGTATATACTGCAAAGTGTTTTACAAAACATGTAGGTTTGTAAAACACTTTGCAATATGAGTTTAACATTAAAACTGCAGTTTCTCAATCTAGACGCTATTATTACCTGAATATATTAACTCCAAAATAATAACGAAAATATTCTGGATATAATTGTTACCACAGAATTATCAAGCAAGGTACTTATATGAAATAACGAGACTATATTTAATCATTTCTGCTGATGCAAAGAGGAAACTTTATTTTGATAGAGCTCCCAAGCAAAGTAACCGTGAGACTATTTACATCCCCGATGCATAAGATAATAGTTTTCATAATGTAAATATGTTTAAAAATTTAATTATCAAATGAAGAAAAAACGAAACCGCTATGATAGGTCAATATTGAAAAAAAACTGTCGTATAAATTACCATGATGTAGGTAGAAATTACAATGCATGACACGCAATAATAAGTGGCGGTATGTAAAACGTCCATAGCTCGACGGTAATATGTGCTCGGTGTCCACGTGTGACACGGATTGCTTTTTCCGCTTGGCGGAGGCAAGGATGGGTTATATTGGACTCAATCTAACTAAATATTCAAGGTGTTCCATTTTCGCCATATATTGGTATGGCAACAGGTTTATCCTTTCTAAATCTGTAAATCTTCTTAAATCTGCAACACAACCAGCGCCAGCCGCCCCAAGGAGGGGATAACTCCTTTCCCTTTACCTTCGTGGGTGAGGAGCACCAAAACACTAGGTGCACCTTCCTACGCAGCCTCTAATTCACACACTCCTCTTCCTCCGCGGCCAATACCGCAGCCATTAGGGAAAAAAGTGGTGGGGGAGTATAGGGCTAAGTATCTTGGGATGGAGTTGTACAAAATCCTTATTCAATGCAGAAGTGTATAGTTGGCCAAAGTCCAGAGAATAATTTATAATATGTATAATAGCTGGAAGTAGGCACTCAAGTATCATAGCTAACACTAGCATTATTTTGCTAACTTCATCATAACCCACAGCCTTGTATTTATTTACTGGCTAACTTAGCTTTTTTATTTGAGAGTAACAGGAGAGAAATAAAAGTAATGGATCCGAAGAGACTGTATTGATATTATAGAAACAATAGTTTGAGAACAAACTTGAGGGTACAATGAAAGTGAAGTAATAAAAACAAAGTGATAATTCATAATCATCATTACAGAACTTAACAAGTCCATTGCTGAACATAGGCCTCCTCCAAGGAATGGTAAAAATCACAGTCCCGAGCCACCTGCATCCATCCACTTTCTGCTTGTCTTACCAGGTCGTCACTCCATCTAGTGGAGAGAAGTCCTATAATTCACCTGCCGGTACAAGGCCACTTAAGACCCTTTCTTCCCATTAGTTGTTGGTTCTTCGAGCAATATGGCCACTGGCCGGCCCATTGCCATTTTTGTTTTTAAGTCTATTAACGCAGAGAAACCCCGAGCATAGGCCTCTCCATAGTTCGTAACTCATACGGCCCGCAGTGAAGGACCACGCCTCAAACTCATAGTTTATCTGGCAACAAGCACTGGTTATACAATCTTCATTTAATCAATTAAGTGACGATTAATGTCATCCAAATTGAAGCCGTATTTATAATTATTTATTTAATCTTTATTGTGTTACACCTTAATCTAAGGATTACAATGGGCGGACTTAATGCCTTATGGCATTCTCTACCAGTCAACTCTGGGATAGTTAGACATGTAATAGATGGTAGGTGCTTGTTGGTAGGTGGTTGGTAGGTGGTAATTTTTTTTATAGAAGAGGGGGCAAACGAGCATGCGGCTCACCTGATGTTAAGTGAATACCGCCGCTTATGATCAACCGCAACACCAGGGGAATTGCAGGTGCGTTACCGGCCCTTTAGAAAGGAGTAAGCTCTTTTCTTGAAGGTCCCCAGGTCGTATCGGTCCGGAAAAATCGCCGTTGGTAAACTATTCCACAGAGAGGTTGTACGCGGAAGAAAACTCCTTTTGAAACGTACTGTGGTGACCGCCAGGCATCCAGATGGTGTGGATGGTATCGGGACGTTTGCCGCGTAGTGCGTTCACGAAATTTGACGGCTGGGATTAATCTGAACAATTCCTCAGAGCACTCTCCATGGTATATGCGAAATAAAATGCAAAGAGATGCAACATCTCTTCGCAGTGCCAGTGAATCGAGCCGATCGGAAAGCACTCGGTCGTCGACGATTCGAGCCGCTCTGCGCTGGATGCGGTCAAGTGGAAGGAGCTGGTACTAGGGAGCCCCAGCCCAGAGATGGGAACAGTATTCCATGTGCGGCCGAACCTGCGCCTTGTAAAGTTGCAGGCGGTGTGCCGGCATGAAATACTGTCCCGCTCTGCTGAGCACGCCAAGCTTTTTTAGAGGCCAATTTGGCCTTCTCTTCTAAGTGACCACGAAACTGCACGTCACTCGAGTCAACGCCGAGGATTCCGATACTGGCTGAGGCAACAAGGGGAGTGCCCTGAAACTGAGGAGATACGACAAAGGGTTTCTCTTTAGCGGTTAACGCGCAAACTTGTGTCTTCTGGGGGTTAAATTGGACTAGATTTAGTCGCCCCCAATCCGAGACTCTGTTCAGCAAGGACTCGACTTCAGACACAAGTTTGTCCCGGCACTCGGAGACGTTTTCCCGAAGAAATATTGGCTCAGCCGGTGTAAAGAGCATCATCAGTGCTGTCATCTGCATAGCAAAACTTGTGTCTTCTGGGGTTAAATTGGACTAGATTTAGTCGCCCCCAGTCCGAGACTCTGTTCAGCAAGGACTCGACTTCAGACACAAGTTTGTCTCGGCACTCGGAGACGTTTGCCCGAGAAATATTGGCTCGGCCGGTGTATATAGCATCACCAGTGCTGTCATCTGCATAGCAATGAATGTTACGGGTTTGCAACATATCATTGATATGCAGAAGAAACAGCGTTGGCGATAGCACGCAGCCTTGTGGAACACCAGCATTAATAGGCTTGCAATCGGAGCTTGCACCGTCTACAACGACCTTGATGCTCCGATCTGCAAGAAAGCTGGTGATCCAATCGCACAATTTCTCGGGAAGCCCATAGGACGGGAGCTTCGAAAGAAGCGCTTTGTGCCAAACCCGATGGAAGGCCTTCGCAATGTCCATACTAACGGCCAATGCCTCCCCCTTGGACTCTACTGCCTCCGCCCATCTGTGAGTTAGGTAGACCAGAAGATCACCTAGCTGACCGACCACGGCGAAA